AAGACTAGTCTGGGGACTATTTTTCTAGTATTTCCAAGCGTTTTTTTGGATATTTGCTCATTAATTTAATTTTTCATCCAAAATCCGTCTGTAGGGGGACACGCCCGACCGAACTCCAGGACTTCTCGACGGCCGTCTCGGTCGGCCACGGCCCGGCCAGGATGACCGGCTTCTGGCAGATGAGTTGCAGGCCTTCGCTCTCGAGCGTGGGGATGTCGCGTCTCGCTGATCCTCTGAGCTTTCCGATCGTGCGTGCCGCTATTGAGCGCTGCGCGTCGGAATGGAGGCCACGACGCCAAATGTGAACTTCTCATGTGTACTGGATCCACAGCGCCGGGTTCTCATCCCAGCTTGAAACGAACCCATCTCCTTCGTCGTGCTAATTCGGGTCCATCAGGCTGTCGATGGTGAAGGTCGGGTTGCCGACCCACAGGCGCACGAGCGCACACACGAGGAGCACGGAGAACACGAGGCCGTGCGCTGCAGGAGGAGCTCGCGCTGCGAGAGAGGCCAGCAGGCCTATGGCTGGCGCAGCCAGGCTGCTGCCGCCCCTGGGCGTGGGAAGCCGCTCGACTACCACTGACGCGGTAGCTTTAAGCCGGGCATATCCTTCTACCCGAGGGAAATTCAAAATTAGTAATAAAAATAGTCTGGGGACGAGGTTGCACTTTTTGGCCATTTCGTTGTTTTTTTGTTTTTACTTGTATGCATTGGTCGTCGAAAATCCGCCTGTAGGGGGACATGGCCGATCTAATGGTAGCTGAACGGTCCAAGCGCCTGAGCCAGCCTATGTCAAGACATAGGAGCAGGAAGCTAGCAGCAGCAGTAGTAGACTGAGCGTTCCAAACACACCTGTCAAACTTCTTTCGCACACCTGGCACCAGAGAGCTCCCGGGGCCCCTTCGTGTGCTTCCCCCTCCAGGGCCCAGCGCATCTGGGAAAAAGGTCGTGCGGGGCGCGCCCTCGAGAGTGCCCGAGAGCTCTCGGCGTTCTGGGGGCTGGGCCCCAGAACGAAACCCAGTGCAGAGATCACGTCGGGACCTCAGGATGCCCCACTCAGTGCCTGCTGCGCAGTGGCGGATGCGTAGCGTGCGCGTTCGACAGGTAACATGCAACTGAATACACGTTACGATTGTGAATATATCGTCTTCCATGTATGCCAGGCCGTGTACACCAGTGGCGGCATAGGCCGCAACTGCAAGAACGTTTGCGCGCACCCTCTCCTGAGTCACACGCTTCATTGTGTTTTGATGCCGCCTGAGCGGAACATGCGCCGAATACAGAGGTCAAGTTGGCGCGGCATGAGCAACCACCACATGAACACTTTGCGCATCTCCCACCGAAGGCGCTTCAGAACCACGTGCCCTCAGACTGACACTTCCGAACCCCTTCCCTCTGCCAATGTGTTTGCCATAGGGCCCTACGTGGCTCACCGTGCGAATTCCTCTATGGCGTCTCAGATACACCTACGGAAAGCAGACCATGGGCCCACCTCTGTTCTGCCTGCGTCAATGCTGACGGGCACGTGCGTCCGCCCTCTCTTTGCTCATGCTGCCCGTGCCTTCTCCGTCTGATCGGGGTCGCCCGCAGAGCAGTGCGCTGGAGGAGGGGGGAGGAGGGGGGCGGGGACGTGGCGGCATGGCAGACCGCGGCAGTCCCAGGCGTGCAACCAGAAGCTGCTGGAGCGCCTGTGCGATCCCGAGGCCGCCGTGCAGCTGATGCAGTACGTCACAAGAGAGGCACCGGAGGAGGCGACCTGGCAAGCCGAGATTCGCCTCGCGGTCCGTAGACAACTCGCCAGGCGTGACCTTGGTTGGCTAGGGGTCTCAGTCTGCTGCAGGCAAGCGTGCGCAATGCAATGCTGCCAGATGCACTGCACGGAAGGCGTGTAGGCCGACAACATGAATAGCAGAGCGTTGCAAGGCCACTCGCAGCACGGCGTAGAGCATCGTATCATGCCAGCATTTCGCAGCATTGAATCGCAACGCACAGCTCGGCATGGCTCATCATAGCATCGCATGTGATAGCGACGTGTTGCATGTAGAAGCGTTGCGCAACGATGCTTCGTTGTCAGGAATGCTGCTTGCCATTGGCCATTGCGCAGCTTATTCCATACTAACTTCCATAACAAAACGCACTATTGTGTTGCATGAGGCTGTACACCATGACAAGAGCGCCGTCCAGCGCACATTATAGCATGAGTTATCGCATCACCTCATGGCATTGAGTTTCACATGCCGCGCCACAATGCAGCGCATCACAGTCGAATGTTCATATGTGCAGCAGAGTATGGTAAAGCACCGTATCGATTTAGCGTAGGATTGCATGCCTGATCGTGACACAGTGTGGCATTTTGGCACTGCATGGAATCACATATTATTGCGCAGCAGTGCGGAGTATGGCAACGCATTGCCGTGGATAGTATTTCACGACCAACTAGCGCATGCTATACCACTGCACTGGCATAGTGGCTGCATGCCGATGCATAGCTTTGATTGCACTGCGCAGCGCAGCGTCGGATAGCAGCTCAAGCATAGCACGGCACAGTATAGCATGGCATGGCAAAGTACGCAAAAGGCAAGGCAAGGCGAATCAGCGCAAAGCAATGCACATACAGCAAAGCAAAGCTAACCAGAGCACGCCCCCAGAGCCCTCGTGGAAACCGTGGCCCCTGGAACCCCCGAGGAAGCTTGGGGGAACGCTCAAGGACCCCTCGGGGAATCATGGGTGGACTCCGAAAAAGCCGCTGGGAGAGGATGGGTGTCGCCGGCGACCTTCTGGCACAAGAGTAGCAGGGCCCCCCATGTCTATAGGCGAAGCTCAAGTGCGGAAAGGGCCGGAAATGCCTCGGCCATCGGCCGCGCCGCGGCGGATGGAGCCAGAGCACAGGGCCGCAGCGGCAGGGTGCGAGTTGACATTCAGGCACGAGAGGCCCCTCCTCCGCTTTCCCCTCCGCCCTCTCCCTTCCCTGGGACGCACAGGGACATACTAATACTATATGTCCTCCTTGGAGGCGCGCGTCCGACCCGAACATATGGTATACCCATCTTGTAGTAGATCGTTTCCCGAGCGGTGCGGCCAGAAAGCGCCCGCCACGACGCATGTACTATAAGACCTCTCGGTGCGCGCGTCGCCCCTGGGGGGGCGACGCAGACGTAGTGTAAGTATGCCGGGGTGACGCTGACCTCTGCAGACATCCGACGCAGCGCTTGCTGTTCCGCAGCGTGGCTCCGCAGAGGCCTGGATCCCCTGCTCGGGGACCGGTGTTGGTCATCCTGGGCCGTTTTTTGTTGATGGCCCCAGGGCCCAGCAAGGGCAACGACAAGACGTAATAGGGCGTCACGTAATGGGGGGATCATAAATGGGGGGTCGGCGAGGGTGGTCCGAAAAGGTACCCAAACGGTACCTAAACGAGCCCCCTGGGGCTCCGGAGGGGCCCCAAAGGGGCAGGAAAGAGGACCGTTTCTGACCCCCCCGTTTATGACCCCCCCATTAAGCCACGCCCAACGTAAGAGTGACCTTTCGCCGGAGTGACCTTTGGTGCGGGCAGAAATTGGTCCCCAGATCGCCGAGCGCGATGCAGTAGCAGCGTCTTTGCGCGGTTGTGCTTGGTCCCCCAGCGGCCCACCAAAAGCCGCGCACCAACGGTCACTCTTACCCAGGGTCACTCTTGCGTGGAGCCGAGGGCACCTGGATGCAAAAGGTTGCCAGAAGCCGTCCGTCGCAAGGCTGCCATACACAGTTTGGCACGTGAGGGTCTCATCCGGCACTTCGCAGAGCTGGCTCTAAAGCTGTTTTTGGGGACGTCGGCTGTGTTCAGTTTTTTTGTTTCGTTTCGGCAGGGAGGTACGGGAAAACAGGAAGAGCCAAGCGAACCACAAAACGGAAGCAAGCAGAAGCAACACGTTTAGATCCAGCCCTACCACTTCGGAGCAACCGAGTACAGAGGGCCGTGATCGGGAGTCGGTCGGGCGACATTGCCTCCCGTGGTCTCGCGGTGTCTCGCGCTGCCTCCACTCGCCTCCCGCTGCCTCTCGCTGTGACCTGCCGTCTCCCGCCGTCTCCGTGCTCACGCCAGACGTCTCCGCCCGTGCCCCTCCCTGCGCCACGCCGTGGAGGTGCGCGGGGCCTCCCTGCCGCGGAGACGTAGCCTCGAGACGCGGGGACGTCAGGGCCGCCCTCGTCCCTCGCTGCCCGCTTCCCTCGCCTGGCATCGCTGGGACGTGTGCATTTGTCCTCCGGCGAGGAGAGGACAGTCGAGGAGCATCCTTGATCTTTTTTGGCGAACAAGCCACGCGCGAAACCGACAACAAAAACACAGGGAATGGACCTCCGAGCGAGGGCGAGCTCGTGGGGCGACGCAGGCCAGAGGCGCCCGGCGGACGCGTGCTGCCCGCGCGCCTGGCGGCACGCGCGCGGCAACGCTGCCGCGTGGCCCGGCCGCGGCGCCGCGCGGCTGCGGCGCGGCTCCTCCCCCTCGGGGGGGCCTCGTGTGGGGTCTCTCGGGAGCTTCCTTGCGAGGGTCTCGGGGCCGGCTTCCCTGACCCCCCAATCTTTTCGGTCGCGTCCGCCAGCGAGAGCGCAAGCGGAGTCAGAAGCGTTCCGGGACACGGAAGCGGCCTAATCAGCTACTAAACGCGCCGCAGGCCGGCCGGCCTACTCGCCCTGACCCCCACGGGTCGCGACAAGAACCACGACGTGAGGTGTTTGGCAATGGTCAGTCTTGGGGAGCCCTTCCGGGCCCAAGGAGCGCCAAGTAGCTACTCCAGAGGAAGGCAGGTTCCTGGGAGGGGGTGCAGACCTCTGGGGGCCCACGTCGTGGAACAATCACGAAGAAGGGGTTCTGGGTGTGAGATTGGCTGGGTCTTTAAAAGCCTGTCGTCTGTGGGGCGGGGCGTGGGTGTGGGGTTGTTTGCCGTGGGGCGTCTTGCGGGGCCCTGGGCCGTCCGTGGCGCGGCCCTGGGGCGCCGAGGTCTTGCGCGCTCTTGGGCCGTCGCGGGGTTCGGTCTGGAGCTGTCGGGCCGCGCTTGGGGCCGTCCCGTGGGGGCATTTCGAGGAACTTCACGCTCTGAGCTTGGCCCCCCTCTCCTCTCATGCCTCTGCGCCCCCCCCCCCCCTTCGCTCCCCACGTCTCTTCTTTCACAAGTTGCGCTTCCGCGACCCGGCTGCGGCTCCAGCCGCCACGCGATCGTTCCCCGCCCCCGTTGACAGTCTTCCCCAGTGAGAGCCGTGTCGCGCCTTTCTGTGCCCTGGGGTCTCCAGGGGGCTCCCGGGGAGGGCTTGGGAGATGTCTGGGGCCCGTGAGAGGGCATTCCAAGGGCGTCAGGCTGTCTTCGGTGGGCATGGTGCTGCCGTCCGAGGGAATATTCGGCAATCTGGCTTTTCCGGGGGCCAGGGTTATGGTGTTCCAACCTATTTTAGCTGCACCACCAGAAAGAGTTCCGAGCACCAAAACAAATACCGAAACTCGAGGGTTTTCACGTGTCGGGCCCTGGGAGACACTCGCCCGACACTGTTTCGACACTCTTTCGACACTCTTTCAACACTTTTCCGGGTGCTCGAAATTATTTCTGGGATGTGGTCCTTAAGTACGATGGGAGCAACCTAAGGCACGGAGTTTGCGGTAGGATACATGCCTATTTTAGGCCTTCATTTGGGCTGGTCATGGACCGATTTCTGTCAGGCCGGTGGCCAAGGCTGGAGCTCTGGAGGATCACCCTCGGGCGGACCGACCACGGAAGAGCTCATTCGAGGCGATGAGAGGTCTGAGCGATTAGGTGATGACGAGCGAATGCGGTTGTGGATGCCACGACAATGGACACCCTAACAGTCCTATCATTGAGTTCAAATGTGTTTAGAATGTCAGGACATGTTCTAAACGTGTTTAACACCTGTTGGTTTACATGTTTAAGACATTATTTGGCAACATGCTTCCTCTCCGTTGATCATCATCCACAAGAATACGGCGGGGAGTAGGTAGCAACGGACAAGAGGGCCGAGGGCAGGATGAATCCAGCGTCGGCGAGAAGGGTTGGGAGGGCAGCAAGGGGGGGAAGGCCGAGCTGAAGCAGAGTCGCGTACATTACCAACTGTGTGATGGGCCCGCTGTGCCCGAAAGATTTCCAGGGAGGCCCATATGCCAATGTGGTCTCCCGGCGCGAAGAGCCGGCGACAACTTGTGCTAGGATCACCTCTGGAACCCCCTCGAAGAAGGGCGAGAACGAAAAGCGTGAGCGAAGGGAAGACGCGGAGGTGGAGATAAATTAGGTGGCAAGCCTCTGCGGCGAACAAGTTCGCCACGGTGGAGAAGTTCAGGGGGAAGAGGAGAAGGAAGAGGATCGAGGTTTGAGAATCTAGTTTTTTGAGGTGTGTTGGCAGTCTATGCCTCTGGAGGCCTCCAGAAGCTTCTGGAGACCCCTGGAGGTTCTCCCGGGACCTCTCCTCCTCCCCTCTCTTGTCCCCCCCCCTCCTCCTCCCTAACCTCGGCCCCTCCGTGGGATCTCCAGGGGTCTCCAGGGGCGCCCTGAGGCGTCTGGAGATTGGGGCTCCAAGCAACATGCTCAAAGACGAACCCCGACCCCCGGTCCTCCCCCCTCGTCTGCCCCCCTCCCCACGGGGACGCGCGGCGACCCGGACTGCGCACGCTGGGCCCCGCTTCTGCCCCACCCGACGGCCCGCGGGGCGGGTCCGGGGAGCGCCCCAGGCGAGCCACGCGAGGAAGTTCCGGTATCCGTTCGTCACGGTGGAGCTCCTCACGTGCGCGCCTAACCAGTTCCTCCAGGCGAGCGGGGACCCCCGGGCCCCGCTTGTCCACCTCCTCCTCCTTCTCCTCCTCGTGCCTCCTCTTTCCTCCTCGTTCCCCCTCCTCCTCCTCCTCCTCCTCCTCCTCCTCCTCGTTCCTCCTCGTTCCTCCTTCTCCTCCTCCTCCTCCTCCTCCTCCTCCTCATCCTCCTGCTCCTCCTTCTCCTCCTCCTCCTCCTCTTCCTCCTCCTCCCTCCCGCTGCTCAAGCATGCCTGTCAGTGCCGCGTCCAGATCTCCACCTTCGCCTCCGACGTGGCGCGATCCTTCGAGAGAGCGTCACAGCCGCCTTGCTTAGCAGTCTCGCGACGCTCCCCTGACCTCCCAGAAGGGCTAAAGTAATAGCATCAAGTCGGGCATGCCCCGCTACATGAGGAGTGCTCAAGAATAAATTACCCCAGTGCGACCCTACCTAGAAGTTGGAGCCCCTAGGAAAGCAGCATTAGTTGCTATGCTATGATATACTATGCTATGCTATGCTATGCCGTGCTATGCTGCGCTATGTTATGCTATGATATGCTATGATATGCTATGCTGCGCTATGCTATGATATGCTAAGCTATGCTATGTTATGTCATGCTGCGCTGTGCTATGCTAAGCTATGCTATGCTATGATATGCTACGCTGTGATGTGTTATTCTATGGTATGGTATGATATGATATAATATGATATGTTAGGATATGATGTGCTGTGCAAAGATATGACACGGTATGATATGACATGATATGTTGCGATATGCTATGCTACGCTATGCTATGCTGTGCTCTGCTATGCTAAAGCTCAGCGAAGCTAAGATACACCTGAGCTAACATGAAGCTTAGCTAAGCTAAGATGTACTAAGCTAAGTCAAGATGAGATAAGCAACGCTAAGCTAAGCGGACGTAACTGGGGGAACCGCGGGGCGGATACTGGGGGAACCGCCCGGGGCGCTTTCCACTGCCCGGCCCCTTTAAGCCCAGAGAGTAAGAACCCTTCTAGGCAGAGCCTAGGTAGGGAAAAAGGACAGTCGGAGGATGTGTTGTTCATTCTCTTTTGGCTAGTTTGACTCTTTGATTGATGTTCAGTTCTGTTTCCCAAATCTGCATGCAGGAGGAACTGCCCTAACTAATACAGCACCAGGACCTCAACATCTCGATCCCAGTCGAGGTTTTTTAGGCAGTCCAGATCGGTCTGGAGATCTGGGGTGCTGCTTGTTGAGCACCCCGGAAGGTCAGGGTTCCGCCTGGTCGGAAAGCCAGGAGGCCCGAGGATCGAGGCTCGAGGCTTCTGGCTGCCGTGTCCTGGCCGCTCCCGGGCCTCTGCAGGCCTCCCACGGACCTCTGGAGGTCGATGGGTGGAGTCCCAGCCCTGGGCCGGTGGGGCCTCCCGGGTGCGGGATCACACTGCCCGAGCCCCCCTCGCGTCGCGCTATGGCGGCAGCGGGCCCCGAGGGAAAAACATCTCACTGAGGGCTTCTTTCTCCGCTCTCGGGCTCCTTGGGGCCCTCCACGGGGCCCGGGACTCGCCAGAAAACGATCCTCAGGATGAGCAGCTCGTCCTGGGGGAAGGCATCAGGGTCCAGGACCCGTTTCCCCCACGACTCGCCCCTTCTCTAACAGCTCGGTGACCCGGTGCCCCCTGCCCCCCCCCCCCTTTCCCAGGATGTGGATTAAAGCAAGACCAGGTGCCCATACCGCCACCCTTCGCTCGTTTTCGCTGTTTCGGGCCTCCTGGAAGGCTCTTGTCACCACCGGTGGATCCGCCTCGGAATTCCAGTCAGAACGCACCTGGGGAGAGGTCCGGGGAGTAGCGGTTTGGGTGCCATTCGGCTTCCCCAGTGGAACGCCTGTGACAGGGCTCGCACGTCGCTGCCCAGGAGCACCGATGCGTTGTTTGCACCTCTTGGGGACTCTTGGGGGTGGCCTCTGGAGGGAGGGGGCGAGTTTGTGTCACCGCGGCGGGTCCTGCTCGGGGATCGGGGATCGCTCGGGGACGAAGTCTGGGGGGTCGTCGGCCTTGGGGCGCCAGACACCCGGCGGCCTGGTGTTTTCGGGGCGCGAGGGGCTGGACGTCTCGATCCCGTCATGTTGGGGTTGGCCTCTCGATCCCGAGTCGTTTCTCGATGGGCCTCGGGCTCGAAGCCGGCCTCCCGACGCCAATCTGTGAAGAAGCCAGCCGTCGCTCGCCCCAGCAGAGCCCCCAGAGGCTCCGACGCCGTCGTGCTGACGTGTTCGGCCCTCGTCTGCTTGTCAGCCTGAGAGTCGATTGCACTTTGAGGTGCCACGCAGCCATACAACGTGTGTTTGAATGCACCTACGCACGCACCTTACTGTTGCGCCAGCGTTTTTTTTACGTGTGGGATCTGCCTGCTGTATCGTTTTATGCGTCGTTGTTCTCTCTCTCTCTCTCTATCTCTATCTCTCTTCCTCTCCCAGTCCCTCACACGCATACATACATACATATATCCAGCCATACATACAAACATACATACATACCTACATGCATGCATACATGCATACATACATCCTTACTTCCATACACACATCCATACTTCCATACACATATACACAAAATACACATCTAGGCAATGAACTCTCCATACCTCTGTCACCAATGCAACTGTCTCGAAAAGCAGTCGTCGTCTAGATACCGTACTTGTGGAGGTGCTGCTGCTGGTGCTGTCATTATGGTCAGTGGACCAGTCATGTCTACGCAACTCATCATATTCGGGGATAACTCCGCATGTCCTCATGATGTTGTTATGCACGTACCCATCAGTGCCCATATATCCGCGCCGTGCATCTGTACTCCTGAAGTGTGCTAGAATAGCCAAGTCGTCTCTTATGTTTTGGAGGTGCTTGTGAAGGCAGAGAACAGCCAGGTCATGGACACCTTGTGGTCGTTTATGGAGGCACGCTGCGTGGCCATGGCAGCAGCGGAACAGAGACGTCGGCGAGCATGGCGCCGACGGGAAAGCGATGAGGAGCAGCAGAAGAAGTAGAGGATAGCAACGAGGGGGGCGACACGAGAAAGGGTCCAGGAGGGAGGACGAGGACATCTCGGGGGGGGGAGAAGAGGAGGAGGAGGAGGAGGAGGAGGAGGAGGAGGAGGAGGAGGAGGAGGAGGAGGAGAGGAGGGAGGAGGAGGAGGAGGAGGAGGAGGAGGAGGAGGAGGAGGAGGAGGAGGAGGAGGAGGAGGAGGAGGAGTAGAGGGCGGAGGAGGAGGAGGAGGAGGAGGGGAGGAGGGGGAGGAGGAGGAGGAGGAGGAGAAGGAGGAGGAGGAGGAGGAGGAGGAGGAGGAGGAGGAGGAGGAGGAAGATGAGGTGGATGAGGAGAAGGGCACCGACCTCAACGTCCCCCACAATCGCCTGCTCGGGAGTGGGGTTCCAGTTCAAAGATGACAGCAGGCCGGTGCCTGCCGCCCCGCGAGGGGCCCCGCCTGTCCGACGGGTCGCATCACGTCGTGCTCATCCCACCGCAGGCCGGCGATGAAGAAGTATGCGGCGACGGGGGAGACGACCGACGGGGCGCGGGCCCGAAACCAAATCAGGCGATCGCGAACATTGATCAAGGGGGCGTGGATTGGTGACGGGTCACGTTTCCATAGGAAGTCGCGGCTTTCCGCCGCCGAGCGAGTCGACACTGGCCGACTTTTAAAACAGGCCACCTCCCCCGATCCATGGATTCGTCGACCGCGCGCCGAATCCATGGATCGCCAATCCATGCTTGCGCGCCCCCGAGACGGGGCGCGGGCCCGAAACCAACGTCCAAAAGCCAGCCTTGTAGCCCTGCCGAGGGCTCAGCACTTGCGCCCCCAGGGTCGGGGCCAGAGCGCACGCCGCTGCGCTCTCTGGCGCAGCACGGGGCCGGGGACGCAGTCCCGAAGCCCGCTCTCGGGTGGACCCCCACTGCAATTCGCCTGACTGCCATTCGCTGGCGGGCCCGCGTGGGCGGCACAACCGAGGGGCCGGCACAGTCAGAGTCGAGCCTGCGCGCGCTGCCGAGCGAGCGGCACGCTCCGCAGCGGCGGCAGCAGTGCACGCTGCCACGCGCAGGAGCGTCGTGGCCCAGCCGGGCAACCGCAAGGGGCTCGGAGCTCTTCGCGGCAGTGCCGTGATCCACACACTCTGCCGCATTGGGACTTCTAGCGCCTTGGTCCTCCGTCGGCTCGGCAAGCACCTGATCCGCAGGAGGAGGAGGAGGAGGAGGAGGAGGAGGAGGAGGAGGAGGAGGAGGAGGAGGAGGGGAGGGCGGACGGAGGAGGGACCAGGGAGGAAGGCGAGCGGATGAAGAGACGGGAGGGCGGGGCGAGGAGAAAGTCGGAGCCACGACGTCCTCTGCACTTGCCCCCTTCTCCAGCCTCTTCTGTCTCGACGCCATCCTCCGCTTCATCCGTCACACTCGAAAGCCCCAAGGGCCCAAGCCAGCCTCTCTCCCTCCCTCCCTTTTCCGCCTGCTCGCGGCGGACGGAAGAGGGAGGGTGGGAGAGAGAGAGGCTGGGCGCCGATACCAGCACCGACGCCGACACCGACGTCGGCGCCGACCCCCGCACCAAGGGCGGCGCCTGCGCCAGCACCGTCGCCAACACCGACGCCGACACCGACGTCGGCGCATACGCTAGCACCGTCGCCGGCGTCGACGCCAAACACGGTCAGCAGCACCGACGCCGCCACTGACTTCGGCGCCTACGCCCGCACCGTCGCCGACGCCTTCGCCAACACCGTCGCTTGCACCGACGCCGACACCGACGTCGTTGCCGACCCAGGCACCGACACCGGCGCCTACGCCAGCACCGTCGCCAGCACTGACACCGACACCGACGTTGGCGTCTACGCCGGCTCCGTCGCCGACGCCCACGCCAACACCGTCGCCAACATCGACGCCGAAACCGACGTCGGCGCCTATGCCAGCACCGACGACGGTGCCTACGCCAGCACTGTCGCCAACACCGATGCCGACACCGACGTCGGCGTCTACGCATACACGGACGCTGGCGCCGACGCCGGCACCGACGCCAGCCCCTACGCCAACACCATCGCCAGCACCGACGCATACACCAACGTCGGCGTCGACCCATGCATCGACCCCGGCGCCTGCGCCAGCACCGTCGCCAGAACCGTTGGCGTCACCGACGTCGGCACCTACGCCAGAAACGACGCCAATTGTAATAAAGCTGGGTAGGGCTCGCGGAATTGTGGCGTGTCGGACCGTCAATACAGATGATACATCTGATTTGATATCTCCCCGCCAGTGGCAGTCTTCAAAGCCGCTTTCAAGCCGCAACTGACTCCTCACGGTCGCTTTTTTCGGCAGCAATCCAGATTCGCCTTCCAGATGGACATGCGTGAACGGCTGTGGGAATTAACTCGACGGTCCTACCGCCATCCGCCGTTTGCTCAGACTTCAATCCGACGCCTGCGCCAGCGCCTGCTCCTGCTTCCAGTCCAGCGCCTGCACTGGCTCCTTGTCCATGTCCGTCCGACTCCCGCGCCATCTCCCATGTCGTTGGTTGCGCCGTTTCCGATTCCGTCGCCTACGCCAACTCAATCCGACGCTTGCGCCGTCTGGCACAAATTGGATGGTGAAGGGGAAATGGGCGCGACACTCCGGAGCATTGCCGGGGGGAACAGCACCGCGTCACGTTCAAGCTCTGAGGCTGACCGCGATGTGGAGCCTCTCCCTCCTCCCCGTTGGCTTCCTCCCGCTTTTCTCGTGCGTGCTCGGCGTTCGCTTTTTTGTTGTTTTACTCTGCGTGTCTTGGCGGCCTCCTCGTCGCCGCGGCCACCCGACCCCGTCCCTGTCACAAGGCGGCGGGCTCAGCCGGCTGTCGCCCGAAGGGGTCCAAGGCCACTCCAGGGCGCCTCGGCGCCCCCACCCGCTTGAGCCTCACACCCCTTCGTCGTACAGGGGATAACCTTCGCAGCTGTAGGCCTGTCCGTCTGCTCTTTTTCTTCTCGCACGTGGAGCCTTCTGGCTGTGAAAGTGCCGTCCCTTTCCTCTTTCCCTCTTTCCTTCCCTTCTTCCGTCTCATCTCCTCCTCTCTTCCTGCCTTACTTCGCACAGGAGTGTCTCAGTGCACTGATGGCTCCAGTTTTCAACACATTACATCGTGCTAGGTTGGGTTTATACGCGGCGGTTGATCCGGCTCAGGGGTACATAAACCTACGACTGTGCGTAGGTAGCGTGGGCGGACGCTTGGCAGTTTTTGTTCCTCGTTCTTTCCCGTCTCCATCTTCCTCTTCGCTCTTCTTCCTCCTCCCAATCCTGGCTGCCGTTGTGCGGGTTCCATAAATGGCCTGTTTGGCCATGGGGCTCCAGCATACTACGTGAATACGCCAAGGTCTTTTTGTTACCTGCCCGCGTCTTACTCCGCTTGACTCCCCGCTCCTGTTGCACACATCCTCGGCGGCGCGCTTCGAGAGAAACCGCGGGTATCAGGCTTGCTTGGAGCTGTCGTGTGTAGGGGCAGTTTGCATTGGCAGTGCGAATCCTTTCGCTGTGCTGGCGTGATAACGCATGATGGAGCTGTGCTCCATGGAGAAAACTCCCTCTTCCGCCTGCTCTATCCTGCCTCCTCCTTCCTTCGGTTCCTCTTTCTCTCTTTTGAAGGGCCTCTGGATTCCTTCCTGCCCTTCCACTCCTCTCCCCCCCTCCCCCTCTTCCCCTCCCTTCCTTCCCCCTTCTCCTCATCCCCAATTTTACAGCGTTTGGTATTTGGGTCGCCTCGCTTGACTTGCCTAGAGGGCTCTTCTTATTCACTTTAGCACCTTCCATAACACACGTGCCCTGGGCTGGTATCCTTCCCGCGAGCCTCTATCAAGCAGGCTTCGAATCGAGATACATCGGCCCAGGGCGTTCCGGAACGCTGTCAGTGCGTTCCGCAACACTCTGAAACGGCCGCGGCGCCCGATACATCCTCCAAGCCCGCCGATTCTCAAAGATTTCTTATTCATACCGGTCCGATTTCGACTCAATGCTCCCTTCGTCTTAGTGCCATTGGCCTCCCGAGCGTGCCCGCTCGCTAGCGGCGCACCCTTCGCTGCCAGCCGAGCTGCCGGGAAGCTCGCCCCGAGCGTGCCCCTTCGCTGCAGCCATCATTTGCGCATCCAATACACCAATATATTTGGACCACCTATATATCCGTACCCAGCGGATTCCAATACGTATGTATGTGTGTATATATTTATATGTATCCACGCTGCGCGCACCAATTTATTGCTGCGTGGTTTCAAGTTGTTCTCTTAGCCCCTTAATCCAACGGGGGATTTGTTGTATTTGTCCCACCAAGATGACCCCTTGTTAGGGAACTCTTCCAAACCCTTCTTCTACACATATGGTCTGCAGCCACTCTTGCTCAAACCCGAGTGGCCGCAGAGAGGCATTGTGTCGGCATGGGAGGTGCTTCTGAGGGAAAGCCGCCGCGCCACTGCACTGGCGCGTTTAATAATCGATGAAGGCATGGTCGAGCTAGTCAAGCGGAACGTATCACTGAGCGAGAAAAACTACGTCAGTGGTACAACGGAGTGCATTCCGTTCTTGCTGGATGAGTGCAAGATGTCGCGGCGCTTATGCACCACAGCGCTCACGAGGCCATCATGTCGTCGAAAATCTTTCCCGTTGCCGAAGAAGCGAAGCGCTGGGCCACTGATATGAGCAGGTGCGCCAGCTGCGTTGTGAACAAGTACAAGTGCGTCGTGCCCGCGGAGAGGCAGGACCACTACACGAGGATTTTCGGAGACGCGATGATGTTCGAGTGCGGCCGTAATTCTTCCTGGAAGAAGGTGACGGCGCAGGCGTCGGAGGCCCTCGAGAGCAGTTCGGAGGGCGTGGTCGCTCACTCCTGGCATGGCAATAAGCTCGGCCCCCGCCGCGAGTGCGCCGCGCGCCCTCGGCGCCAGGTGCAAGCTGATGAAGGGGCAGCGTGGGTTTTCTCAACCGCCCGAGCTAGCCGCCAAGAAGGACGAACCGCGCAGCCCGTTCGAGGTGGCGTCAACTCAGGCTGCGGCAAGCTTACCTGCAAGCGCGCGCCCTTCACCTGCGCAAGCCGTTCCTACATCATCGAACATGTTTGGGCTTCCTTCCTCCTCCCCTTCTCGTCTCTGGCTTCTGCTTTTGCTGCTGCTCCCGCGCCTTCGCCATCGCCCTCTTTCTCTCCGTCCTCCCCCGCCAACTCATTGATCAGCAGGTGGCGTGGCGCGACTGGAACGCCGACCCGTCGTCCGCGGTGATTGGTGATGAGCCGGGCACGGAGACGCGCACGCCACTGTCTGCGGGCGATCGGGGGTCATTGGCGGCGCGCGCACCTGACGGCGAGAGGACCAGTGCCGACCAGCCCAACGCGATGCTCGGGGCCCACTCGGAGGGGCCGAAGAAGCGGGCGGCCAAGGGGAAGGGGGCGCCGGCGAAGCCACCGAAATCCGCAACCAAGAGACCTCTGAAGAGCACCATGGAAGAACCCGCTGCGCCAATGAAAGGCCCGCCTAGGGGACCATGGGGTCTTCCCACAAGGCGAATTCTTCATCCTGGGTCGTTTTCTGGCAGCCCCGGGGCCCGTGGAGGGCCCAGAGAGCCCGAGAACGGCCAGAGGTCTGGGCCCCTCCTTCTCCGAGTCCGCGAGTGGCCAAAAGAGGAGGAGGAGGAGGAGGAGGAGGAGGAGGAGGAGGAGGAGGAGCAGGAGCAGGAGCAGGAGCAGGAGCAGGAGCAGGAGCAGGAGCAGGAGGAGGAGGAGGAGGAGGAGGGGACAAGGAGGACAATGATGAGGAGGAAAAGGAGGAGGGGGGAGGAGGAGGAAAGGGACGGAGGAGGAGGAGGAGGAGGAGGAGGAGGAGGGAGGAGGAGAGGAGATGAGGAGGAGGAGGGGGGAGGAGGAGGAGGAGGAGGAGGAGGAGGAGGAGGAGAGGAGGAGGAGGAGGGACGCAAGGAGGAGGAGGAGGAAAGAGGAGGAGGAGGAGGCGGAGGAGGAGGAGGAGGAGGAGGAGGAGGAGAGGAGGAGGAGGAGGAGGAGGAGAGGAGGAGGAGGAGGAGGAGGAGGAGGAGGAGGAGGAGGAGAGGAGGAGGAGGAGGAGGAGGTGGGAGGGAGGGAGGAGGAGGAGGAGGAGGAGGAGGAGGGGAGGAGGAGGAGGAGGAGGAGGGGGAGGTGGAGGAACAGAGGAGGACGAGGACGAGGAGGAGGAGGACGGGGAGGAGGGAGGAGGAGGAGGAGGAGGAGGAGGAGGAGGAGGAGGAGGAGGAGGAGGTGGAGGAGGTGGAGGACAAGGAGGAAGAGGTGGAGCAGAATAAGTAGAGGAGGAGGAGGAAGAAGGAGAGGAAAAGGAGGAGGAGGAGGAGAAGGAGGAGGAGGAGGAGGAGGAGGAGGACGGGGAGGAAAATCAATAAGAAGAGGTGCGAGGTGGAGGAGAAGGAAGATGAGCGTGGGGCTCGAGTCGCCCGAGCCCGTATCGATATCGCCCGGCTCGATTCGCCAGAGTTCGATTCGCCCGGCTCGATTCGCCTGGCGAGTCGCTGGGGTCCAGTTTGCCCGAGTCTCGATTCGACCAGCTCGATCCACCCGGCTCGACTCGCCCGGCTCAGTTCGCCTTGGCTTGGCTCTCCCAGTTCGACCAGCCCGCCCGTTAGGACCCCCGCTGCCCGGCGAAACGAGCCCCGGCGAAACGAATCCCGGCGAAATGAGCTCCAGCGAACCGACCGCCGACCCGCCGGTTAGGGTCCGCCCGCCCGACCCGACCCGCCCGTCAGGGTCCACCCGCCCGACCCGACCCGTCAGATCACGCATCATGCTTTAATGTCCCGCCCACCCGATCCGACCCGACCCGCCCGTCAGGGGCCGCCCGCCCGACCCGACCCGCCCACTAGGATCCGCCCGCCCAGCGAAGCGAACCCCGGCGAAAGAAGCCCCGTCGAAACGAGCCCCGACGACACGAGCCCCAGCGAAGAACCGAGGTCAGGCGAACCGAGTTCTGGCGCACCGAGTCCCCGCGAACCTAGCCGGGCGAACCGACACCCGGCGAAGCGAGCCCCAGCGAGCCAAGCCTCGGCGAACCGAGCCCCGGCGAATTGACACCCCGCGAACCACGTGCCAGCGAACTGAAATTGTGCCGGGTGATGTTGGATGAAGAGGAGAATGATGTTATCCTCCTTATTCCTCCTCCTCCTCCTCCTCCTCCTCCTCCTCTTCCGCCTCCTGGTCCTCCTCCGGATTTCTTATTCCAGATGGCGTTAGGAGTCTCCGAGTGCCACCACCCCCTCCTCCTCCTTTTCCTCCTCCTCCTCCTGCTTCTCCTTCTCTGTCCGCACTGGGCTCCCCGTCCGCCTCCGATTCTTCCTCCTCCTCCTCCTCCGCCTCCTGGTCCTCCTCTGGATTCTTATTCCAGATGGCGTTAGGAGTCTCCGAGTGCCACCACCCCCTCCTCCTCCTCCTCCTCCTCTTCCTGTTCCTCTTCCTCCTGCTCCTCCTCCTCCTGCTCCTGCTTCTCCTCCTCCTCCTCCTCCTCTGTCCGCTCTGGGCTCCCCGTCCGCCTCCGATTCTTCCTTCTCCTCCTCCTCCTCCTCCTCCTCCTCCTCCTCCTTCTCCTCCCCCTCCTCTTCCCCCTCCTCCTCCCCTCTTTCCCTGTTCCCCGCCCGTTGCTGGGCGAGGCGGACCCCCCCGCGGACGTCAACCCCGTGTTGGCTGGCTACTTCTCGCGCGCCGTGGCCGCCGTCCTGTCGAAGCACCCCGCCGAGCTGGCCAGCGCAGAGCGCGCGCGCGCCCGGCGGCCGCGTGCAGCCGAGGGTTTTCTGGCGGAGGGTCGAGGGTCGGGGGGCTCCTCGGAGGCGGAAAAGAGGGGGGTGATGACTAGGGGGGGGCATATCATGGCGGGGGCCATGATATTTCCCCAGATCTTATGGCGCCTCCTCTTGTTTCATTACGTCCCTGGCCCCCCCGCTGGGCCGCGCACATGCCGCCGGTCATGATTTGCACCCCCCCCTCTTGGACACCCCCCTCTTGGCCGCTCCCGAGCAGAGCCTCGTGGTGTCAAGCAGAGGCGGAGCGTCCCGCTTGCCTACAGGCCCACCAGGGAGTGCTCCAACAACCCTTCTGGTGCCTCGTAGTCCTGATGTCAGTCGGAGCAAAAAGCACTACGTAAACATAAATTGGTGGCGCTCCGCGCGGGTTTCTTGGATCCGCGCTTGGCCCCCATGCGGCGCCTCCGGCGCCGCCCTTGGCGCGTTCCGCGCGCCAGGGAGGGGGTCCGGCGCAGATCCAAGAAATCCGCACGGAGCACCAACAGTTTTTGTTTATACCTTTGTTCTTCTCCTAGTCTAGCAGAGGCAGGGCGTCTCGGCTTGCCTATAGGCCCACCAAAGAATCCACACATAACTTGTATTTGTGGTTTGCACGGAATGTTATTAGAATATGTGTTGCTGATATTCTTTGTTTAAGCACATCGTTGTTTTATGTTATACGGACTCTGTGTTTGTAATTCGAATATTTCCTTGTCTGCTATAAGAGCACATTCCGTGGTGTGGCGATAGGAATGTTGGGACGGTTGGTCCCTGCTCAATTGTGGACGCTTCGGGCCTGCCTTTTGGAGACAGGCCAATCCAGCATCCAGCACCCCCTTTCTTGTCGCTTTCTGGTGGCCAGAGCTGGGTCGGGCTTATGCTCCTCGGCGCCGCTTTCCATTTGGTAATTGCGCAAGCTCACCGTCGACCCGTGAGTGTCGGGGTTTAGAACGAGGATCTCGAATAAGAGACGTCGGCATAAGCGTCAAGTTTTGAAGGTCCGCGCGGATTCCTTGGATCTGCGCTGGGCCCCTCATTGCGGTGCTTCCCTGGCGCCGCCACTGGCGCTCCCCACCATGCGCCAGGGAGGGGGTCCAGCGCCGATCCCAGACATCCGCGCAGACCTTGAAAGTTGTTTTTATGTCGCTGTTTCTTCTTATGGTTAGGACGAGAATCATCGATCCTGAATGGAGAAGAATCAGGTGTCGAGGGTTCTTCCCCCATCCCTCCTCCCCCCCTTCACCTCCTCTTCCTCCTCCCCCTCCCCCTCCTCCTCCCCCCCTCCCCCTCTTTACAATTACTCAATATGAATACTACTCTCCCTCTTCCCCTGATGACGTGCTGGGAGTGTTCGCCCCCCCCCCCCCCGCGTCCGTTTTTTACACACAGGTTTCCCGGGAGTTGGGTTTTCGCTTGCATTTTTTCCAAAATGCTGCTCTCGCTGAGGCGCCGGCCTCATTTTCGGGCCCCGCTCGTTCCGAATCGTGCTCCCGCTGCAGCGCTGGCCTCATTTCCGTGCTTCCGCTCGTTCCGAATCGTGCTCCCGCTGCAGCGCTGGCCTCATTTCCGCGCTTCCGCTCGTTTCGACTCGTGCTCCCGCTGCAGCGCTGGCGTCATTTCCCGTGCCATGCCACGGCATGCAATGCAATGCTAGGTTGATACTACGCTTTGCGGTGCTCTTCTACGCCATGCCATGCCGTGCTCTACAATGCATCGCGTACCCTTTCGGGATCATTGCCATGCTCGACATCCGACTGTGCGAGTAGAGAGGTAATCTGCGCCATGGTAAGGGATGGGAGGGAGGGGTAGGATGTCAGATATGACGCGAGCGCACCTAGCTTGTCCCCCTCCTCTTCCCCTCACGCTCCACCACTTCCCTCTCCCCCTTTTCTTCGATGAAGAATTCACTTTTCAACACGTTTCTGGTGATTATGTTCCCCCAAGCGTCTCCGGATTTGTTTTGGATTCTCAGGATTCTCTGGAGCACTCTTGGGGTCTCCGAAGACCTCCAGGGTTTCCCGAAGCCTAAGTCATCAGCAGAGATTCGTGCAGGTATCGGAGGTTTCGCGAGCGGGATGAGACCAGAATCCAGCCAGACGTTTTGGCCATGTTCTGCGCCCAGGATCGGTTGCCATACCATGGGGCCATCAGAATCAACTCGGGATGAGAAGCCGGCCCCAGGGATGGTTCGAGAGGTCTGGGGGCCAGCGATTCGCTACAGTCGATGCGGGAGAGTCGATGCTCCCGGAAGGTTTCCCGAAGTCTTGGGGGGGGGGTCGGGAGCAATGTGATCCCCAGGGCGCATTCCGTCAGCTGCTCGCCTCGTCGAGGACCGAGACCCGAGCCGTGCCCAGCAGAGCAGTCAAGCACGGCATCACGGAGCCAGGGCCCCAAGGCCCACGTCGTGGCCCGCAGGCCGGTCGGTGCCCCGAGGGGTGCGGTGCCTCAATCCTTGCCTGCTCGGCCCGGCACTCGGGCTCTGACCTGCCGCCGCTGCAGCCGCTATCGCGTGAGCGTCCGCGGTCTTCTGCACCAGATGGCTCGGGGGAAGATGTCATGGATCTCTTGACCCCCTTTCTTCTTCTTTCAATGCATCCCTTGGTCCCCCCCTTGTCCGCTCACGGGCAATGATTTGCGCCCTCCCCCTCTTGTGAGGCCCTCTCTTGGCCGCCCCCGACCCTGCGCTGCACCCCAGCAGGCCGCGGGCTCAGAGAGAAGATGCTCGACGGACGACGGCGCTCGTGGGAGATTGCGCGGGGGGGGGGGTACGCCGGGGTGTCAGGCCTCCTCCAGCCAGAGCCCCGAGTCATGATGGCTGGGGGCAGTCAGGGGAAGCTACGGGCTCGTGCCTCGGTGGCCCGAACCGGAGTTACCCCGGACCGCAGCGGATCACTGGGGCCTCCATCCCAGGGGCCTCCATCCCAGGGGCCCCCAGATTTGGCCAAGATCGGCGCGTTCCCGCCACATGCCGGCCCCAGTTCGCCCCGCGGGATGGCGGAGGTCGACCGAGTTCCCCTTTGATCCTGATCCTTTCGCGCTGCCGCACATGTCCGCCGCAGCGCTGCGTGCGTGCGCGCGTGCGTGCGTGCGTGCGTGCGTGCGTGCGTGCGGGCGGGCGTGCGGGCGGGCGGGCGTGCGAGCGTGCGAGCGTGCGTGCGTGCGGGCGGGCGTGCCGGCGGGCGTGCGTGCGTGCGGGCGGGCGTGCGGGCGGGCGGGCGGGCGGGCGGGCGTGCGTGCGTGCGTGCGGCCAGGCGGGCGGGCGGGCGGGCGGGCGTGCGTGCGGGCGGGCGGGCGGGCGGGCGGGCGTGCGCGCGTGTGTGTGTGTGTGTGTGTGTTTGTGTGTGAGTGTGTGTGTGTGTGGTGTGTGTGTGTGTGGACGGTTGTGGTTAATGGTGAAATCAAAATTTTAATAGTGAAAAAGAAATTTCAAAGGTGAAATGAAACACACGACTTAAACACACTACGCAGAAAAATTAGCCTGGCGAAGGACCCAACCATATGCAGTTGTGAATGCCGCAATTGTGCTGGGTGGTGGCGGACGCATGCGGGCGGTGCCACTGGGACCTTCGGTGGAGCTCCCTATGGGGCCACGAAACGCTGTACTGGGTGGGTGAGACGCGGTCAGCAAGGGCTGTGCTGCGTGGTGGCGGACGCATGCGAGCGGTGCCACTGGGACCTTCGGTGGAGCTCCCTATGGGGCCACGAAACGCTGTACTGGGTGGGTGAAACGCAGGCAGGGAGCAAGGGCTGCGCAGGGTGGTGGCGGACGCATGCGGGCGGTGCCGCTGGGACCTTTGGTGGAGCTCCCTGTAGGGCTACGAAGCGCTGTTCTGGGTGGGCGAAGCGCAGGGAACAAGGGCTGTGCTGGGTGGTGGCGGACGCAAGCGGGCAGTGCCACTGGGACCTTTGGTGGAGCCCCCTATGGGGCCACGGAACGTGCGAGGGGTGTGCCAGAATGGGGTGTGGAACCGCATGCCAGCGCAGCCACTGGGGCCTTCGGTGGAGCTCCCTATGGAGCCACGAAGCGTGGGAGGGGTGTGCCGCAATGGGGGGTGGAACCGCATGCGAGCGCAGCCACTGCGGCGTTCGGTGGAGCTCCCTATGGGGCCACGAAGCGTGTGAAGGGCGTGCCGAAAAAGGGGGTGGAACCGCATGCGAGCGCAGCCACTGGGGCCTTCGGTGGAGCTCTCTATGGGGCCACGAACCGTGTGAGGGGTGTGCCGAAATGGGGGGGGAACCACATGCGAGCGCAGCCACTGGGGCGTTCGGTGGAGCTCCCCATGGAGCCACCCACGAAGCGTGTGAGGGGTGTGCCGAAATGGGAGGTGGAACCGCATGCGAGCGCAGCCACTGGAGCGTTCGGTGGAGCTCCCTATGGGGCCACGAAACGTGTGAGGGGTGTGCCAGAATGGGGGGTGGAACCGCATGCGGGCGCAGCCACTGGGGCCTTCGGTGGAGCTCCCTATGGGGCCACGAAACGTGTGAGGGGTGTGCCAGAATGGGGGGTGGAACCGCATGCGGGCGCAGCCACTGGGGCCTTCGGTGGAGCTCCCTATGGGGCCACGAAACGTGTGAGGGGTGTGCCAGAATGGGGGGTGGAACCGCATGCGGGCGCAGCCACTGGGGCCTTCGGTGGAGCTCCCTATGGGGCCACGAAACGTGTGAGGGGTGTGCCAGAATGGGGGGTGGAACCGCATGCGGGCGCAGCCACTGGGGCCTTCGGTGGAGCTCCCTATGGGGCCACGAAACGTGTGAGGGGTGTGCCAGAATGGGGGGTGGAACCGCATGCGGGCGCAGCCACTGGGGCCTTCGGTGGAGCTCCCTATGGGGCCACGAAACGTGTGAGGGGTGTGCCAGAATGGGGGGTGGAACCGCATGCGGGCGCAGCCACTGGGGCCTTCGGTGGAGCTCCCTATGGGGCCACGAAACGTGTGAGGGGTGTGCCAGAATGGGGGGTGGAA